CGCCCCCTCCCCAGCCGCGCCACGCAAGGCACTTGGGCAGCCCGGAGCGGCCGACACACCGGAACACGGTTTCCGGGCCCAGCCGTTCCTCTCCGCTCCCTGCCTCGGGCCCGAGGGCGGGGCTCGCCCCAGGGACAGCCCCACGGCAGGAGCCAGCAGGGAAGAAGCTCCCGCCAAACCGGCGTTAGGCCAGACAGAGGAGTTAACAAAACAGAGCAGCGTCTTCTTTTGTCTCCCCAAAGACCTCTGCACCGCAGCCGGGACGTGTACAGGACCCACATCTCCCCCCAGGCTGCTCTCCTACCAATAAGGGGCCTGCATCTCGGAGCGCCGCCAGGTCTGCAGCTGGGGCAGGAGCAGCGCAGCAGCCTGGGAAGCGCCGAGGTGCTCCCAGGCCCCACTGCCACGCTTCACAGCATGGGAAGGAGAGCGGATCATGCCCACGTGGCAGATCGTGTAGTTCCTCCCATGGTTGTTGTCCCAGTGGGTCTTCTGTCCACACTGGAAGGAGATGCAGAACTCGGCAGCCCTGCAGGAGACGGATGAGTTGGGCAGGGCGAGCTCAAAGGAGAAGGTGTCTGTGTCAGCTGAGCCGTACGTGCTGTGCATGTACTGGCAGGAAATGTCCCGGAAGCTCTTCCAGCCATCGAAGGTGATGCGGACCATCACTTTCTTCTCATACTCGATGTTTCTGACCTTCACTGTCCCTGAGAGGGCACAGTCCTGGATCAGGCAGTTCTCCAGGCAGACGAGGTTGCTGTGCAGGCGGCTGCGGAACGTCACGTAGTCCGCGGAGGGCTGCGGGAAGTCCAGGACATACCCGCACACCTGCGGGCGCGGGTCGCGCAGCCTCGGTCGGAAGCGGGCAAGGTCAGACAGGGCGTGCTGCAGGTCACAGAAGTCCTCCTCAATCTTTGAGAAGAAGTGGACAGCTGTCAGTGAGAGCCCCTTCATATCAGCGAACACGACCTTCTTCTTCTTCTGGCCCTTGGAGCTCCTGGTGCTGTCTCGCCGCTCAGGCTCAGGCTCTGTGTTCAGCTTCTGGTTGAGACAGGACCGGAGGGGTTTGCGCCCCCGGCTGCCCCGCAGCTCCTCGTAGGAGCTCAGCAGCTTGCAGATGGGGGGCGAATGGCTCAGGCAGAGCCGCACGGCCAGGTCCACGGGCATGGCTGGGGAGCGAC